GGGGGGGGGGGGGGGAATTTAAATTTAAAATAACCCCAGTAGAGCAAGATTACGTAATTGACTAAAAATGGCAAACTAACTTGAACAGCAAATACACACAAATGAAACTGTAGTATTACGCTATTTATGATGTTATACAAAATTTTGCAAAAATGAGCAAATAAAAATGTTCACGTCATTTACGATAAGTTGTGCGCGGCCCATGGAAACGGAATTCATATTTTAAAAAGGCATTTTATGAAAACCCGACCAAGGTTCTTCAATTGCTAATAAAAATTGGAAAGCTCCTATTTCATCACAGTACTTGGCAGATCTGCTGTATGCATGGCCAGCCAGATCAGACCTGCTCTACCAATACTTGTAACTTCCACATTACCTTTCACAAGCAAAATATGAACATGAAACTTCAAAGTACTTCATCTGCATTTCAGGAAAACAAAAGGTTCAATCCCCCTGTCATAGGATCCTGGAAAAGTAAAACCTGTGAGAATTCCCCCCCCAAAGTAATCCACCCATTAGCAATTAGCAATCACAAATCAAGACTTGAACCTGCTACATCAGCGTAAGTGGCAAGCACTTTGCTTTTAAACTAACGAGTCCTCTGAGAACACGTACAGGATGACACATGAAAAACTTACGGAAGGAGTCTGGGGAATACTGGGAAGAGAAGACACAGGACAAGAACACAAGGCGGGCTGAGACCTCTTCCTTGAATCCGTGGCTGGAAAGAGAATCATAAACAGTTGACATCAAAGCATTCCACAAAATCTTTTTTTAAAATCCAGTGACAGATGGAGTAACAATATTGGAAAACTCTCCTTCACTGAAAGGGTCGGCTACTACAAACAAAATGTTTATCCTAAAAGCTAAGGGATTTATACGGCGGCAAATGAAACAAATAGGACATAAAATAAAGCCTTTTAGTTTTAAGTTTTAGTAGAGGTTTTACGGCGCTCGCAACTGCATAAGGCCATATGAGCGCCAGAAGATTAGAGGTGTTACAAGAGGGTAAAAAACATAAAAAAGAAGAAGGGGAAATAAGGACGATAGATGTCTGATAGGAAAGAAGAAGCAAACCCCACCAGAGCACCCGCCAACCACCCAATAATGTCTTGATTAAATAATTAGAGCTAATAACTTCAAAAGTCTATAAACCAACTTTTACAAAACCGGATCAGGCACATGCAACTCTATAACATCAGATTATACAACAAATATCAAAATGATGTCAAGAGGGGGTGGTTTTGGTGTAGTGGGCTATAAAGTCCTCTCAAATTCTCAAATGCCAAATATGGGACAGTCCAATGAAATTCGGGACAGTTGGCAAGCCTGATATACTGACTCTTGAGTACACTCTATCAAAGTGATAGTACTCAGAAGAGTAGAAAGAGCACATAATCCAACAGTAAGAGCACAACCATAACAGCTATTATTGTAAGAACGTAGCACATGATAATACACTCATAATGATTAAACATTACAAAGAAAATGTTTTTAAATGTACATGTAGTAGAAATAAGAGAAACATTAAGAGAAATCCCCGTCCACAATGCCAGACAGAAAGAGGACCAATTAATACCCAAGACAGGAAAGGTTTTTTAAAAAGTATACGTCAGAGCAAGAGAAGCCTTACTGGGAGACCCCGTCCATAATGCACAGGGAAAAAAGACCTCAAAATAAACCAAAAAACAACAACAACAAAGAAACATCCTTTTAAAATATATTAGAAGGAGCAATATAAAATTTATTGATAGGTTAAATATCAAACAGAAAAAGGATGAAAAAAAAAAAAAGAAAGAAGGAAAGGGGAAAAAAAGCATTTTTAAAAGTATATTTAGAAGCAAGAGAAACCGTATACCAGGCTGCCCTTCCCACAGTAGCTATACAGAAATCATTTTTTAACCCCTTCAATGCTGCAGGTAAATAGGCCCCTGTGCCGATGGAAATCCCATGAACCAAAGTGGCTCAGGGTGTGACCCCACTCTACCTCCCATAACTTTTTGATTTACGAATATTTCTTGTATGTATGTAGTATAGGGTTTTACGGCGCTCGCAACTGCTAAGGTCATATGAGCGCGCGAAACACAAGTTGTTTACTTCATTCATGAATTTCTGCATGTAAATGCTACAGTGAACCACGTTTCTATTGATATAATTTCAGGGGGATTTCATTGATCTGCCAAAAACAACACCACCAAACAACATACAACAACACACATTCGAGTAATGATAAACTGAGACCAAAAAAAGGGGAATACATTTTGCGCGAGTGTCTGCAGGTAAAGAGGAAGTGACAAAAGGCTTTTCCTACCTTATACAACGCTCGTACAATTCATATATATATGTAGGCCCATCTGTGTTTACTGCCAATAAATCATTTTTGTGCGGTAGATGTAGATGTGTTAGATCTAGATCTAATCTTCTCTTTGAGCTAAAATCTGAATCTGACGCTTTCAAATGGGGGGGGGGGAATAGAGGTACACATAAAAAGGAAGGTACCTCAATAACAATTACAAGATTTTAGTAGTAACTTCCCTTAAAGTTGGTATCAAACAACCTCTGTCACAGTCCCATATATTCTACAGGCCATAGGCACAGCACTACATGGTTCAGGCCCGTAAACTCTATGGGCGCGGCAGCGAAGAGGGTAAGTAAACATAAAAGCATCTTACTGGGAGATTTCACCTAGAAAGGTTGAATCATCATCATCATCATGAATCACCCACTAAAATATTAAATAAACAAACAAAACAAAATGTTTTTTACAGTATAGAGGTGCAAGAGAAGCCTTACTGGGAAGTCCAAGTACTACGGTCCTGAGACTGTTCTGTGAAGTGGACCAGGTTGTTGAAGAAGTGGGTCATCATGTGTAGTGACTTCTCCGCCCACCTGTACAAAAAAAAACAGTAAGCAGAAAAAAATTAAAGAAACATTTCAAATGAAAAGAAGAAAAAACAAACAAAAAACACTCCATTAGTTCTGACATCATCTTTTTCTTCTTTTTTTTTGTACACAAAAGCAGATGTAATTCATTTGAAACTCAAAACTAAATTCAGGTGCTAAAATAAAACACTGCTCCACTTTTCCTTTGTGCATGTCTTATTTAACCACCTCCTCCTCCGCCCCCCCCCCCTTCCGCTTTTCCCCTTTCCCTCACTCCTCTTCTCTTAGGCTTTCTTATGTCCTCCCTTCCCCACCCCACCTGTATAGCATAAACAAAAGAAACAAGGCCCTGAAATCAATAGTCTTGGCACCACACCTAACTTTTCAAGTTAGATGTGGAGATATTTTCAAAAACTCATCTTTTAGAAACTGAAATCAAATAATTTTTCCAAACATTGCAAGACCTTCAAAAAGTGTAGTTTTACATGAAAAGTAATTCTTTCAAATTTTTGTTTCAAACCCCACTCTACATTTTCGGATAATAATTTTGTAATGCAATGTTTACATGTTTAATTCGAAGATGGTCAGATAAAGCACAATTTTCACAAATACATGTTAATAAAAGTTTCTTCAATTATAACAATTATAACATAATAGCCCAAGTAATTTTTTCCCTAGGTGTCTAAATATTGGTATGGTAAAAATCCATGAAACCTGTTTCATATCCTCAATATCACAATGTTCTGTTTTGAATACTACAATCCAATTTATGAGGTATATTCATTTTCATTCAAGCCACAAGGTTCACTTAGACAAGCACTGCTTTCCCAAGTTTTCTCAAAACAAATAAAAGTGACCCACGCAATTATAGTGTCATGAGCACGACACAATAATTCAAGATATTTTAAACATCTCAAAGAATAATGCAAACCTATACAGCATAACATGTAACTTGTCAAAAGGAATCATTTCACTTACAAAACAACCTTGTAAGAGCCCCCTATTGGCCGCATACTATTGAAAGAGCTGAACAGCTTGGTGAGCAGTCGTAGAGAGACCACCACAGACCTAGGAGAAAAAAACAACAAATGAAACAAAAGAAACATTCAGGCAAAAATTATGGAACTCTCTTACTTAGCCATGCGTGAAGCAAGCAAAGAACTCTATACTTTTAAAACATAAGCCCATGAGAAATTGTAACTACAAGTGTCTCCATCGACACAATCATAAATCATTCAGGAGGCAGACTGTTTTAACCATGCCTGCCAGGGGCCAAAATCTGCGGAGAGGGACACAATATCCTGACAGGCAGAGATACTTAATAAACAACCTCCTAACACGGTAATCAAACACCTGTATTTAACCACTACACCACAGATGCCAATCTCAGTCATTAAGAAAAACAGTACAGCATTCAACTCGGACCAATTTAAGAGAGAAGAAAGATAAAAATTAAGGCTTCTTAAACTTTACCTGCAAAATGACTGAAGGGTAAACATTGGAAGGAAAGAAAACAAGAAAACTTTGTTAACACATCGCACAGAAGACACAATGTAACTGAAGCTCACTAATCGATAGTTTTTTCCCTTACAAAAAATTCAGAAAAAGGAACATATTTGAATGGTCTTATTTCAGTATCTTTTAAAGGTAAAACTAGCTGTACTGTCAAAGAGTTAAATATAAAGGATGAAACAATACAATATCTCTTTCTCTTCTTATCCTTGAGGGTGCTCACACATATGGCTGTGTCTGTATGGGTTAATGTGAGCACACAAATGTGTGCACATTTGAATGTGTATAGGTTTGTCCTTCCAGGCCTGCCTGCGCATATGTTTGTGCTTATGTCTAGTAAGAGAAGCCACTAACTTGTTTTTGGCCAAATTGTCTATGATGGCCTCAATGAACTTTGTCCTGATCTGCCTGTCATTGGAGCAGCACAACAAAGTGGTCAGAGCTTTTTCTGCTTCAGCTGCCATGCCTTCGGGGAGCAGATTCTGAGAAAAAAATAAAAACAATATTAAATATATTTTACAAAACAAAAAGACCTACAAATACTTCATGCTATAGTGATGTGCTACTAAGTTGTTGTTACTTCAACAAAACAGACTAAGATATTCATTTTCATTCTGAAAGACCAAGATACCAAACAACTGTCTTCAAATTTATCAACAACAACAACCAGTACAGTGCTATACGTAACCAAAATTAAAGAAAAGATACAATGTCCAGGTATTTTGAGTTTTGAGTTGTTGTTTTTTAGTAGAGGTTTTATGGCGCTCGTAACTGCATAAGGTCATATGAGTGCCAAGGGGCGAATGTCAACAAAGAAGTCCTTACAGGGAATCAGACTTAATCTGCTCACCTCTCTAGCTTCAGCAGCACAAAGTCTGCTTCGACTATCAAGGCAAATAGCTGGTCACAAGAGTGTGACAAACATACAAAAGAAGTAGAGGAAAATGACGATAGCAAGGATTAGGAAAGAAAAAGCAGCAGTTCCCTGTTGTAGTTCAGGCACAGTTATGAGAATGACATTGTTAGATCAGCCCATTTACAATTCTACTGTGCACTAGAACGAGAAATGCCCCCCCCCCCCCTTGGGAATGGCCTAAAGACACTTCAGTAAGTGGCACCGCCCCGGGGGGTAGTTTTGAGTTTAAATAAAAACAAGCACATCTACACAGTAACAGCCATTTAGTCAAAGAAAATGTAAGACAGACAGAAAGACAGTGGGAAGAAAATAAAGGGACCCATAGTGGTGCCCTCCAAACACTCCCTGCCACATATGATTGTTTCATAATTTTTGACAATTTTTTACTGCATTTGCAACACATTCGGTCACATAAGTGCAGAAGCTTAGAGGTGTTACAAACAAAAGAGTAACAAACAAAAAAAGGAGGCGGAGAGATACAGACCATATATATGTTTAATAGGAAAGAAGGAGCAAACCACTACAGAGCACCTGCAAACCACCAACCAGGATAATAGAAAACAGAAAACAGATAACATATGTTAACAGGACACAGAAAACAGACAACACACTGCAATATAATGTTTTAGTTTTAGTTTTAGTAAGTGTTTTACGGCACTTGCAACACAATAAGGCCATATAAGTGCCGAAGATTAGAGGTGTTACAAGAGAGTAACAAACATAAAAAAGGAGGAGGAGAGATTTGGACAATAGATGTTTAATAGGAAAGAAGGAGCAAACCACACCAGAGCACCCGCCAACCACCCACCAACATAATGTTTGTTCGTTTTAGTAAAGAGAAACACATCAACACAATTCAGCATTTACTGCTTGGAAAAAGCACATCAGACAAACAAATGACGGATAGAAAAGAATAAGGATCTACCAGTGGTGCCCTCCAACCACTCGCTTCTACAAAAGAAAAGTGAACTGATCACACGCAACCACTGAACACAGTAAACCCACCGCCATGTTGTCCTGCACCAGGTCCCAGAGAAGCGTGTGTCCAGGCTTGCACACCTCCTCTAGCCTGAAGTCCGAGGCAGGACTCTTACTTTTCTGACTTGCACGCCGCACCCCAGCACCTGTGGCAGTGAGAGAGATCACCTCACGTTATTTATATCCACCCACATTCCATCAACTCATTCCAGCCTGAAGAACACTGGCCTTTTACTCTTCGGACAAATACAACAACAATAAAAAAACTTTTCACGGATCCCAGCAGAGGATCTTTATTTCAAAGTTTTGTTTACAATATCTGACGCAATAACCGTCATTTACAGCTAGACAGGCTGGAACAATGTGCGGGAAAAAAAAAGAAGAAAGACCTACCAATGGTTCCCTCCAACCACCTGCTCTATTTCACGATAACGTAAATGGACTTTTAATCACGACACAGAAGCATGGGTTTAAAAAATTAAGCGCGCCTGTCCAAAAAGAAAGACAATAGTCCAGTGGACCTAGTAAATGAACTCTTAATCCCCACACAGAAGCATGTTTTGTTTTACATGCTTTATTAAGAGTTTTATAGCACTAGGAACACAATTAGGTCAAATAAGTGCAAAAGATTAGAGGTGTAACAAAAGAGTAACAAACGCAAAAAAGGAGGAGAGATAAAGACGACAGATGTTTGATGAGAAAGAAAGAACAAACCGCACAAGAGCTTCCCCAATCACCCACATAGTCCAGTGGACCCCACAAACTGACTCCTTCAAAGTCACTGCCTAACTAACAATGTAACTGTCATGTATTGTCCCAGGAGGACACTTGAATCAACAAAAAGACCTAGAACAGCTTACTCTCACTGAAAAGATAGAAGGGAAAAGAAGCAGAGATAGACTGGAAGTAACTTGTTCATAGAACTTGCACAAATTTAAGGCGGACAAGACCAGGATAACATTGGCTTTTTGGGAGCTTCAGAAAGGAGAAAGGAGTGGCAAATCAAGATTACCAATGGCCTTCTCGGACCTGGCATTTTGAAGAAGTAATTATACATGGCATACCCCAACGATAACATAGGACTTTTACTTTAATGTTTTCATAAATCATATCACACTGATAATAGATGATTGATGATAAAGGACTCACATCAACAATGTTGGGCACAGATAGGCCATCTCCCAAGAACTCTTTTTTAAAGGAGAGGCTAAAGCCTGTCAACTTAAACTTCATGTCAATTTTTATGCACTTCTTTTTGTGTGTGTGTGTGTTGAATGTCTACATCATTTTATCCTGATGATGTATTTGACCATGTGAAAATATCATCATCATGATTTGCCTGATTTGAAGAAGTCATCAGCACTCACTATTTAAAGCACCACAGACACCACATAGCTACCATGAGCTGCCCCGCCAAGAACAGGTGATTATCTTCCAACTAAGAACCCAATACACAAGACTGAGACAACATATGTACAGATGTTTTAAACCAGCACAATCACCAAAATGCCAGTGTGGAGAGGCGGACCAAACAGTTGAACACATCCATCAGCACTGCAAGACACACAGGGCCCTGAGACAGGAAACGTGTCCAACCCCACTGACACTACAAGAGAAACTATACTGGCCAACAGATGAACTGAGCAGGATGGCCCAGTTTATGACAGATATCAGACTTCAAGTGTGATGCGATCGAGAAGAAAAAGAAGAAGAAGCACTCACTAATCTCTTTACTCGAATGCTCTAAAAAAAAAACTATATCATCCAGGTCATTCCCAATCACAATCTATTCAGCTATTCAGGTTCTCAAAATATAGTTTAAAAAATTAGGCTTTAAAAAATGGTGAAGTAGGCCCATTTATGCCCAGCACCATTGATAATTTAAATTATGTTGTTAATCACACATGGTATACCTCGAGGATGGTACAGGGCAGACATATGGCCAGCGGGCTGGTGGGGGTTGAACCCGATGTGAGCATTGATCTGGACCAGCTCCTCCTCGCTGACTCCCTCCTCACCGTCAAAGTCGGCCATGTTCTTTTCCGACTTGGTGCTCAGACCCGAGCTATGGCAGCTGCCTTCCTCTCTCTCTGGACTCAGCAGGATGGTCAGATCATAGGTTCTGAAAGCATGAACGAGAATAACATGCAACAAATTTCCTTTCTGTTTTTGTTGGAGTAAAGAGAGGTCCAACAACACAAAAAGGGTCATTTCGTGCCAGGGGAATAGTGGCAGAAAGAAATAATAGAGGGACAAAAAGAAATACTACCTACTAGTAGCACCCTCCAGCCACCTGCAAAGTCAGTTGATAGACAGACAGACAAGAGACATTTGACTTAATAACCTAATGGGTTCAGTACGACATCTGATCATTAAGTATTAGTAACAGTTTAATAGCACTTGCAAAACAAATAAGTCATATAAAATAGGAGCCAAAGATAAAAGGGGTTACTAGAGAGTAATATACAAAGGAAATAAGGAGGAGAGATAAGGATAATAGATGTTTGGTTGGCACAGCACCTGTCGACCACCCACATTCTCAGATCATAGACTAACGAAAATGCAGAACAAATTTCTGGTGATACAGACAGAACAAAGACATCTGAGTTCCACTCTTTACTGTCACCATTGAGTGATATCAAAATAATTCAGAGATGGCAGGCATCTTGTCTGTCCTTGAGGGTTTGTGTTGATGGAAGAGTAAAACATTTGCAATCAATCTTGTCCCTTAAGGTAACACACATTCTCTCATTATATTTTATGCTTACTTTTGACAAGTTGGCCTGAAGTACACACCATGTCTTTTACCTAACAGTGACTTGCTATATGCTGCAAGTACCATCATAGGCTTACAATGTATTTTTCACAGGGCATAATAACCAACATCTGGGGAACTGGGTGCCCCAAAAGAGACAGAAGAGAGTAAAATTATCACCAAAGATCAGTGCACCAACCAGTACAAAACCACTGAAATTAAACCAAATAAAATCACACAAAAACCAAACAATTTACCTATAACGATTTCTTGCCTTATTTGCAGCAGTCACTGGCTGCCTTTGATGAAAATTCACTTTATCAAGCACACAGAATTTTCTTTTCTTAACACGAAACTTTCCCTTCCGAGTTATGCTAGGCATCTCCCCCCCCCCCCAATTTTCTTCTATATTTCATGTACACTCTTCACAAGCAAGCCGAAGGTGCACACCATAACTTCAACCTTACAGTGACTTGCTACAAGCTGCAAGTACCCCCTTCCCCCCCCAACCCCCACCTGGAGCGCATGAGAAACATGTCTATGAAATTGTAATGTGCATACGGAAAAAGCTGGTTCCAACTTTCCAAAAGCATTCTTACACTGGTTTCAGATCTTTATTTTCCACACTAGCAAGACCCTCCTCATCCTCCTCCTCTGCCATCATCAGCTGCTGGCGCTGCTGCTCACTGCGACGGGCGGCTTGGAGCTGCCCCCCTTGGATGACAGCCCATTCTTCTTCACCAACGCAGCAGCCTCGCTTGTCTGCGATCTTGACTTGTGCAGCCTCCTAGGGTAAAAAAAAACCAAAACACTCCTGGCTGAACACTACAGGAAAAAAGTAAAAACTTCTGAACCCAAGTATACACTGTTAGGAACAGTAAAATATTCCTGAATCAGGAGAATGCAAGAGGAAAACAAAAAGAAAACCAAAACGCATAAAATATTGGTAATTAAAATAAAAATACTACAACAAAAAGTAAAAGCTACTGAGCCTAGGTATTATTTTACACCCCCCATCAATACAATTCAGATCATTTAGGAGTCGGGTTTTCAACCCTATCTGTCGAGTCCAACCCAGGCCGAGAGTGATACAATGTCCCAGCAGTAAGACCAACCAAGATAGACAATAAGAATTCTCCCCAAACTTAAATTGAACTTGAGTCTTCTGCATGCAATGACAAAACATTTAACAGCTACTCTAAAGACTCCAACACCTGTTTTGTATAATTAAAAGAAAGGAAATTGTGGAAAGCAATAGCAGATGGGGGGGGGGGGAATGAGTAATAAAGATCATGAGAAACTGGAAACTGCCAACAAAGCAAACAGGGGCTAAGAACTCACCTGGGAGTGGGGTAGGAATTCTTGCCTCAGCTATAGGAAGGGAGGAGGAGGGGGTGTGTGGGGGGTTTGCCTTGAGGTAAAGTGTTTGACTATCATGCCAAAAAGTGGCTGTTTCAACACCTAGTTAGTGTATGCATGTTTCAAGATTAATTTTTCTTCCCATTTTTTACACTCCTGACCCCAGGGTAAGTAAATCGTGAGCTCCAGGACCTAGGTTGTTTCTTTTGGGGGGGGGGGGTTCAAAATAGGATGAAAACCCCCAAGGCTTCCACGTACACATTGTGCATGTTAGTGGCATCTTGGCAAGTTAAAGAGAAAAAAAAGAACAGAATTGTCCAACCAAAACAAGTAAGTAAATCTCTACTCAACACAGACAAAACTGTGCTCAGTCTTTTTAAAGGGACCATTTGGCCCTCTTTATTGAGGGGTATGACCTCTAAAAAGGCAAATAGATAGCATGCATGATAATTAGTAGCACTGAGACATAGCAGGCACGCAGAAAAAAGAGGAAGTAATTTTATTCCTTCTAGGATACCACAAAGACACTCACCTTTGCAGAAACTTTTCTATCATCTGCTTCCTCATCCTCCTCTTCATCATTGTCCTCGTCTTCCTCCTCTTCCTCATGCACCCTCACCAGAGCCTGATCAGCAGCCATGAGCTGTGTTGCCAGCCTCTGGCTCCTCAGGGCTTTCTCAGCCTCCAGCCCCGCAGCTCCACGGTGACCCCCACCCACACTCGTCTCGTTCTCAGAGCTCATCTCCTCATCATCATCCTCCTCTTCCTCCTCCTCCTCTTCTTCCTCATCGTCAGACCCTGCCTCCTCCATTGGTGTCGGGTCGGGTGGCATTCCTGCAGCACCCACTACCAGTGCAGCCACCTGTCCTGGGCTAACTTCCGCTTTGCTGTTGTTGCGGGGGAACACATCAGGCTGGAGGCCAACAACGCGACCGCGCACCGAACGAGGGAGAGGGATACCCTCTTTAGTCACAACCACATCAACGCCTCCCTCATCCTCGCTTGACTCGCCCCCACACGAGGCATGGCCTGTCTTGGCCATCACACTGTGCACCACGGCGCGAAGGCGAGGATTTTCTTCCTCCTCCTCTTCTTCTTCGTAGCTGAGGTCTGACTGACCTGAGAGTAAATACAGGCAACTCAAAACATATCCACCCTATGATCAAGCGAATGAAATAAATAAACAAAGATCATTTCCTTTTGAAAAGTTTTACTAAATTGAAAATATTTCCTCTTACCATAGTAATAACATTTCAGACAGGCACTAAAAATTACCATCATCGCTTTCCGGAGCAAACCCAGTTACTAAACCTGTGCCCATTTTCTTGAACAACAACCTTCAGAAATCAATCAAGTATCACACTTTCGAATATAATCAACTTTTTCATCAACGTGTTTCCTATCAATGTATCCCTAATAAAAAGAATGGTAATCCTTGTGGATAGATGAAAGTAGACTTCAATTTCTACCAACATAACGATAAACTCTGACCTTTTATAACCGCCATCACTACCTACTTTTATGCTTACTAAAAAACTAGTTCTTGGATGCACTCACTCCTGGAAAGATGTCAAGTTGAAAATGTGCTCACAGTTTCCTTCTTAATTGTTAGTTGAAATATTTAGTGAAAGAACTACTTTCAAGCATAAAACACCTAAAACAAAAACATAAAAGCAGAATGTTTCAACATTTTACGCCAGCTAGGTTACACTTCATGAATTAATAAGTAATCCACACTACTTAGTTTGTCTTCAATATCAACTGACGTCCATAGTAGAAAAAAAGGGTTTCAATTCAGACAAGAAAACATTTCTTATAAGCTACAAGTAGAACGGAATGATCAGTTTTTCTGATTTAAAAAACCACAATTTTTGTCGCAAAAAAGCCTTAAAGTGATCTACGTCTCACTTTGGTAAAGGCCATTTTAAATAAAAAAGCAATTCATAGATAACCTTCCTTTCAAAACTGCACATAAACTCTTAAAAGACACCATATCGACCAATCAGATAGAAAAGAGGGATCAAAGGTCGTCCACATAAAAGTTCAACTAACTGCCCACGTGCCACCCCCTACAAAATTAGGAAAAAAATAATTACCCTCGATTGAGCTGTCGGAGGCCACCCCTGCGTGATGCAGGCTCAGGTGCTGCTGCTGGCGGTGGTGAAGGGCGTGGTGGTGGTGATGGTGGTGGTGATGCTGTGACTGTTGCGGCAGATGGTGCACGGTGTGCTGGGGGATACAGCCACTACAGCAGTGGTCATCCTCTGACCCAAGCGCTCCAGCCAGCTGCTCCGTCACCACAGCCACTGCAAGCTCAGGGTTGCGCTGCAACAGGCGAAGGATGATGGACTTCATCAACACGGGAAGGGAACCATGATATAGGAAACAAAATATTTAAAGTAGCAGCCCGCATTTGAATTTGCAATTACAGCAAGATGATCGAGCCATTTCTTTTTGGTCACCTTGTAACGTCAACAAAGCCAAAACCGCAAAACGTCTACAACTTTTAAGAATTTTTAAAGACTGTACGTTTTTTTGTTCCTCTCTATTCGATAAGTAACATTTTTAAACACCTGACTGTTTTGTAGAAATAACCCTGCTGTGATTAACTCTAACCAGCGGCAGAGAATTGCAAATTCTAATGCAGTTTAGAAAAAAAAACCCACAGAGAGAACAAATATGTACAAAAACAAAGGTGTCAATACTAGTACAAACTTGATCAGCATAAGACACTCAACTAAGTCACTAGCCAGCCTCTCAAACCACCTTTTAACTCATAAGCTCAGACACAATTCTGTTTGCTCATCTAAGTAAAGAGAAAAAAACATTGACATAACAGCAGTCATTTACTGCCTGGCAAAAAGCAAGAAACAACAGAAGGAAAGAAAAGAAGTAGGACTTACCAATGGTGCTTTCCAACCACCCACACAGAATTCTGTTTCAACTTTGTTAAAGGACATGGCCTTTTGTCAAATGACAGACGAACAACAACAGATTTACAACACAACACTCACCTGTGGCAACTTGGCAGGGGGCGGGGCACCACCGTCGTCAGAGTCACTGTCACTACTGCTCACCTGTGGAGCTGGCGCACGAGTGCTACCTGTGGGCACAACAGTCAGTTCTTTCAATTACCCTCTACACACACATTGAGGATTGCGGTATCACATACAAAAAGGCCAACTTCAAACTGTTCAAAAATCAACTTTCAGAACCTAAGATCTGACCATCCTGCTAAGCCGGGAAAGGGAGGAAGGCAGCAGCCACAACTCGGGTCTGAGCACCAAGTCGGAGCTGGTCCAGATCAACGCTCACATCGGGTTCAACCCCCACCGGACAGCTGCCCATATGTCTGCCCCCTTATATCCTCAAGGTATACCAAGTATGATTTAGGGCATAATTAAAAATACCAATGGTGTCGGACAGAAAAGGGCCTACTTCGAAATTTTCTAAAACCTTATTTTACTACTGTGTCGTAAAGCAGGGTCAAAAATACACCATCTCAATAAATGAGTAGAAATGTATGAAACGCCATAATTAAATTTGAGTTGAAATGATCTTCAATGGGTATTTATTTTTTAACTTCTCCTGTCAAATGGCAGGTGACCTATCTGTTCCTTGCTCGACTGTAGAGGAGTCAATTCTTTGATCTTTGACTACCACAGAGGAGCCAATGAAAACAGATACTGCAAAACTCAACACCCGATTTCATGTACTAAAAGAGCCAACTTGAAAATTTTTTAACCAAAAGGGTCTAATAATGAACATCATTTAAACATTCTGATAGCACAACCAAAACGGGAGCAGAAACATTCTCAATTACAGTGATTGCCAAGACAAACCAGGTTGTTCCAGGGGTTGACTTATAGGTGATGGGAACAAGAAGCTTCACATAAACCCAGTAATGGTCACTTTGTCATGATCACGCCATAAATGCCAGCCATTTTTTTTTCATGGTTCTAGTTTTTGGCATAGTTACAAAGCCTTCCATTTGATTAGTATTCTCAATATAGCAGGGTTCTGGTTTTTTGTACTAAAAATCAAACAGTTATGGCATTTTTACTTTAGCTCAAGCGAAATGGTTGACTTAGGTAAGTATTGTTGTTTTGTTTTTTTAAGTTTTCACAAAACAACAACAAAAAAGGACTTAGGTAATTGTATCATGACCCAGTTGATATTGTAAACTCACGTCTACTTCCTGGAGCAGCTCCAGCAGGGGTGAGCTTACGTCTCTGAGCCTCTTCCACCTGAAAAGCCTGCCACTGGCTTCGTGTCAGAATTGAGGACAGATAAAGAACCTGCAAAGAAACAGCAGCACTTCCTGATTAGAATAATACAATGTGCGCCGAACATATTCATAGAATTAGTCAAGAGACTGATACTTAAGATTTCCTACTTTTGTTACACATCAACAGAGTAACTGTCTAAAAAATAAATCTCAAACCTGTTTTTCATTTGCAATACTGAAAACCTCAATTCTAATGGTGGCAAAATTTGGTCAACATTCTCAAATAAACATTTCACTTTCTTCGACAGCTTAACCCAAACCATAGCTGTAACCCATCTGAGACAAACACTCACTTTAGACATATCCATTCTTTTATAACTGGTACTGGCAAGAAAATGGGAAACTGATATGAACATTTTTATGAAACTCTGATGAGACCAGAGAAAAATTTTACTTGAACGACCACAGCACTAAAATCACTTTCCGTAAAGACAGGTATCCTCAGTAAACATAATGTTATTTCATGAAAACTCTTCCAGAATGATCAATAGTTGGACACATCAACTTGGATGACATTCCAAACCCAATAAAAAGAATAAACAATGTTCATTTTACGGATTTTAGTTTTAGTAGAGCTTTTACGGTGCACGCAACTGCAAATGGTCATATGAGCGCCAGAAGATTAGAGGTGTTACAAGAGAGTAACAAACATAAAAAAGAAGAAGGGGAGAAAAGGACGATAGATGTTTGATAGGAAAGAAGCAGCAAACCACACGCCAACCACCCATTTTCAGGGGTTTGATAGTTTAGTTGGTATCATGCTGGACTACAGTTAGAGGGACCCTGGTACGAATTCCAAAAGGGGCTGTCTTGAGCTTGGGTTGTTTGAGGAGTTTTCAAGGATCTTCACTCACTACGCCTAGCAGTATCAGAGATGGACGTAAAATTCAGAGGTTCTTGCCTCCTAACCCTACAGACCAACGCACAGAACTCGGCAAAAACTACCTGTACCTTTCTGTGCACTGAACACACATCTGACCATGCAGTGACACAGATCGAGCAATCAATCAAAAGAGTTCCACTGCATAGGTTCTGCAGGCTCATGGAGAACCAAGGCCCAACGGAATAAACAACCTTAGTGCCCGAAGTAGTAATGAACCTATACCATACCCAGCCAGCTGACATCAAACATGAGAGAATAACAAGTACAACACAAGAACAATGCCATGGCAACAATAACACATCCACCAGCAGAGTAAACAGTTCAGACATGGTGACAGAGTTCACATACCGACTCATTGTACGAAGCCGGGTCCAGCTTATCTATCAAGTGCCTCAAGTGTCGGTTCTGCTCTGGCTCCACAGACTTTATCAAAGGCAGCAACACTTCGTACACTTGCTTACCACAGTGCTTCAGCTGGAAGTGAAACCATAAACATCTATAGATCAACAAAAAACACAAAAAGACTTGCGTTGTTTTTTTTAAATAAGAGTTTTATGGCATTTGCAACACAATAAGGTCATATAAGTGCCGAGGTTTAGAAGTGTTACAAGAGAGTAACAAATATCGAACAGGAAGAGAGATAAGAATGATACATGTTAGGTAAGAAAGAAGGAGCAAACCACAACAGAGCATCCACCAACTACCCGCTGACTTGTTTACAATTACTTGTTTCACGAACAGAGGTACATCAACAAGAAGACAATCTTAATATTACAACAAGACAATAAAAGAGAAAACTTTAAGAAAAGATTTTTAACACTTTGCCATCACAAGGCTCATTTAATAAAAACTCTTGCCATCAAAGGCAAAAGCATTTTGGGGAAAATCTAAAGAAACTGGGAGGTAAACATCGTCAATGGGCGAAATGTGACGCGAAAGTGTTAAAAGACAGGAAGCAAGTCAAAAATAAAAAACAAATCCTGTTGTCTCTATTCAAAGGGTTGATAAGTTTACCTGTTAATCGTTTGGCTGAGAGACAACAGGATTTGTTTTTTTTTCAAATGTTTCAAACTTTTGTTTCAAACCAAAGGACGCTGTAGTTGTTACTGCTCAGCACTGGCTTGTTACCTCTAAGCCAGGACAACCAAGGCTGGAAGACTGAGATACTTGATAAGAAATAATTTCAACCCACTTGGGCATGCGACAGCAAAGCCCCTAACCACTACACCACAGACGCTAGTAAACATACACTGGGGGGAAAAAAGGAACAGATAACAAAAAAATATGTTTTCAATAAAGTCTGAATCAACTAACCTAAAAGAGAACTTGTGTGCCATTGAGTAAACAGATACCCACAATGACAACCAGGCAAAAAACAGGTGGAGAGACATCTTTAATAAAAAAGACTTACTTGTGCTGCAGCCCAAATGCAGTCCAGATGCTGGTTATTTATTTTCCCTTCAGCTCCCAAGAAATTGAGAATAATCTGGCTCTGCTTGATGATCTAAAGAGACAACAAACACAAAGATGCGTAAATGAGTAAATGACGTCAGGTGCAAAATGGCCAAGTCAATTTTTTATCCTCGTCTTTTTTTTTAAATTAACAGACGACAACGACTTCATTGCAAACATAAATTTGCCTTAAAATCAGTTTCACTACACTAAACCACCTCTCAAATTCACTAAATGACAGTGTAAGGAAAGATACAGAATCAATTTTTCCCCCCTGACTTTTGCGATAATTTTTTTTTCTAAAAAAATAAGGTATTCAACAACAAAAGATCAATTTCTAAGACTAATGCTTAAATTTTTGGACCTTTATGAATCATATTACATAAATTTAAGCACATACACAAAAGAACTTAATAATCACAAAATTAACAATAATGCATCGAGTCATTTCACACCAGAGAAAGACAATTTTCTTAGCTCAGTGTTCTTCCAAAAAGAAAGGTACACATCAAGTGTTTTGTCAATATAATACTGGATGCGTTCCAAGACCAACCTACTCACAAACAATCGGCGGATAATTTTTATATTGGAGATGAAACATAAATTTCATGAATAATTTAAAATGTTGTAATATAAACAGGAAAAATATAACCAAAGGAAGGCTATGCTGGTTTTTATATTTTTTATTTTTAAAAACTCCCATTCTTGGTGAACCTGCTCTAACAACCATGTGTCCAAGACAATCATCTGACCAAACCAACACTTCCCACTTTTTGATTATTAAAATGACACTGTCCAAGAGGCCCATCTTTCTAAGATGACCAATTTCCTACTCGGCAATGGGAGGTCATCTTGAACAGGTTTCACTACACTGAGATATGAAAAATTACCTCGATATGAAGGTTGGGTCCAAAGATTTGTTCGACAATCTTGTTGTCCAAGAGCCACTTTGCCATCTCATCTCCAAAACTGTGAAGAAATACCATATCTTCAACAATGCAAACAATCAATAACCCAGTAAAACTTCACCCCTAATAATACTCTTTGAGTAAAATAATTGTTTGGGTGGACATGTACACAAGCATAAATAGGAAGATGGGAGGGAGGGGGATAGAGGTGCGGGAGCAGGGAGGGGAGAGAGAGTGAGAGAGTTAGTTTCAGTAGAGGTTTTGCGGCGCTCGCAACTACATAAAGTCATATGAGCGCCAGAAGATTAGAGCCGTTACAAGAGAGTAACAGACATAAAAAGGATGAAGGGGAGATCAGGACAATAGATGTTTGATAGGAAAGAAGAAACAAACCACACCAGAGCACCCGCCAACCACCCACAAAGTGAAAGAGAGAGAGAGAGAGAGAGAGAGAGAGAGAGAGAGAGAGAGAGAGAGAGAGGGAGAGAGAGAGAGAGGGAGAGAGGGAGGGAGGGAGGGAGGGAGGGAGGGAGGGAGGGAGGGAGGGAGAGGGAGAGAGAGAGAGGGAGGGAGAGAGAGAGAGAGAGAGAGAGAGAGAGAGAGAGAGAGAGAGAACATTGAATTTGCTCTTAAGAAAGCAGTAGAGAACAATTTAAATATGAGACATATGTCTTAATTGTGTGCAAAAAACAAAGCTTTAACTTTACACTGACACCCCCCCCCCCCCCCCCAAGCCAGCCAGAAATTAACAAAATACACACCAGAGATACATAGAAACAAACCAGGAAAGAGAGTACACATAAAAATGTACAGGTTTTGAGACTATTGCAAGCTAGAGACCATATTCTCCCTATACCAGTGCTTCCACCAGCTGAAGCTAAAAAGTAATGAAAATTCTGCCAGGGGTCTGGGTCCAGGGACAGTGTCCCAGTGGGGGCTCAGGGGGCTAAGCCCCTGCAGAAATTGAAATTTAGTACTTTTAGAGGGTTGAAAATGGCATTTGGGAGTCTGTTTGAAGAGATTGCCAAAAACCCATACAACCTATTTTTTCACCAAGATTTTGTCTTATTTGAATTCTTCACACTTATCTTTCAATTGCTGGCTATGTTTAAAAGCAGGTTCCCCTTCCATTGCTACTATAATTCAATTAATTTGTCATCGAACCATTGATAGAAGGTAAACATGGGAATAATGAATAGATATGTACCTTCACAATACAGTTACCCAGCGTATACCCTAATTTTCCTCAATTTTCACGTCTGAATGTCGTATGTCACAACCTCGGAACACCACTTCGAAATATTCTTGATTTTAGTAGTTATAGCACAAATTTCTTTCATCCCGGCCCTTATCGCGTACCCGTGCCGTAGAATCTTCGCACTGATAATTTCTCTAGATCTAGACAATAAATGTGCGAAAGTTTCTTTCTGACAGTAATTTTCTAAGATCACAAGTCAATATATTTGATCAACGCGAAGATTTTCCTGCCGCGGCAACAAACTGAAGATAGACAGACGGAATGAGGGAAGGATAGAAAGGAGCAAAGGGGCACAAAAAGTTCACCAGATTTTGATCCATCTGCAGGTAAAAAAAATACTGCCGGCCAACCCGCAATGAATGCATGGGGCATAGCAGATTAATGGCCGATGGCAGGAAATGCGCAATCTGGCAGGTTTCTATACCGTAACAAACTATTGCTGAGAAAATTACAGTAAATATCCATAACTTATACTATACAAGACGATACGAAGGCGAGTACGGGTCTTTTGCTAAGGAAATTTGGTCGTCTTACACTGTCACAGATTTTTACGGAGGGAGTTGATAATGATGGAGGAACAAGTACGGAACTGGTAGAAAGTACGGATTTCCGTAAAAATACGGAAGAGTGGAAGCACTGCTATACTGACACCCATTATTTTTATAATCCACTTTAGCAAGAAAGAATGTATGTTTTTCTAAAATTATAATTCTAAATTGTAATAATTGGTCTAGACAATGTAACCATAGAGAAAAAAAATTACTCAAGATCCGCAAGAGTAGCAAGCACAAACCTTTCAATGTCACTCATTAATTCATTGCTGATGTTGTCATTGTAAGTGTTGATCAGTGTCTGGAAAAAAAATAGTTTTCAACATTTATGCATGCATATTTAGTAACGAAAATACATTCACATAAAATTATGCAGTATCTTAGTCTATTTTTAAGGATCATAAATCAAAATATTTTCCCCATCTCTGAACAGGCACACATGCTAAGAAGCAATTGTGAGACATTATAAAAGCCTTCTTCTCAATTCCAGTCTACAAAATTATTAGAGCAAACAGTTTAAAATGCATACAAACAGGAAGAAACAAAGTGTTTCAGTGCCTTTAACAAAAAAACAAAAACAAAAAAAGAAATTTTGCAAAAACCCTTCTACAGGTTCAAAACTTTAAAAAATTGAAATACATCATAATAGAAACTAACACCTACGACCTATGAGGAACCTGAAAGTTCATCCGCTCTTAAAGGCGGATGGTGAGCCCACTACTCACACTAATCTGACAGATGCTGCCAAGCCTGATGGTAAGGGTGGTGCTTGTGAAGCATTTGTACACTAAAGCCATGACCTCGCGGTCAAAAGTCATCTGAGAGTCCATCGGTTCTTTGATAGCTTGCCACATAAGCTCCATGGTGTTGTGAGCCGCTGCTGCTCTCATGTCGGCCTCCGACAGAGTGCACATGTAGCGGATGATTGGAGAGCGGAGCGGGACCACACATGTCAGGATGGTGGGTGTGTTGACCCACATTCGGAGCTGATGACAAACAGAAATTTGTTTATAAAGCAAAAAATTGAGTTATGTCCTGTTTTGACAATATAACAGTACAGAGATCAAATTAAAGATCTATTCAAGCCTTACACGAGGGTGGAAACCCTATCAGTTTAGCTGCCTCAGTTTCTAATGTACAGCCACTTGAAGTTGTTGGACATTTAGAAGCACAAAATGTTGTGTTTTTTAATCGAAGTTTTGCTTGACATCTTGAAACAGCAGAGTGCAATGAGTGACTTATTTTACCCAAAATGGAAATTTCTTATTTCCACAGCTAAAAGCGGTTCATTAACTGATTGAGAGGGAGCACAAGAAGCTTTCCCCCCGGACACCACTTTAAAGGGGTTGGAAAACCATACATACTTGATGAAAAACTTAACAAAATTTAAAAGCAACACAATGTTAACCAAACACAGTGAGTACCATATCTTACAGGTCTACGATATTCAGGCTGAACCAATTAGTTATTTAAAATTGGCAAAAAAGCATGGACTGTAAGAGAAATCAGAAGTTCTTGTAAAATCATTGTATCAAGAGAGACAGAGAAAATTATGAGACCCACAAATCTCATCTCTATAAACTGAAAATGCATAACAAAATACTGTTCACATAATTTGCTTATAATCTATGCAGGTATGTTGATATTGAAAACTATGCAGATATGTCAAAGTTTGTATCTTTTTTACGACACTATAGTCTCAGATAATTTAGATCTTGACTTTAGATTCATCAATCTCAAAGTCCTACATATATACGAAGAGACACATGCTTTCCGGGAAGAGAACGGATGCCTTACATTTGTTATGATGGTGATCAGAGTATGAGCAAAGGTGAGGGGCAGGTTCTTATTGTTGGCCTTCTCAAAGCACTGGCTCAATGCACCCACTCCATTGCTGTCGATGAAGAAACAAACATTCCGCAACAGCAGCAAGGGAGCATCCATGTCCTGAAATACAAAAGATAAAAATTATGTATCCACGAAAGCAATAAACTACATGTATTTTGAAGTCAAGCATTCGCCCTGAGACATATTTACAGGCAGCATGCTATTACTTTTGCAAAAAGAAATACTGAACAATGGCTAACTCTTTCCTTTCATCTTTAGAAAGACGTGTATCCCGAAAGGTCCAAAGACAGAATTCAACCAGACTAGATTTCAAGTAACAACCCATCTCCATCTCATCCTCTCACATCCTTCACACTATTTCTATCTGAGATAAAGCAAATGTAAATATTTTCTCACTAATGCCCCTTCTAGTGCTCCCCAACCTTATCCCACAATGAGTTACAGATCTTTTTCTGATTCAAAGTTTCTCTAAATACAACCCCCCCTTTTCAATTCTAACAATCTCTCCATTTAACCAAAGATTGTCCTGTAGAACCAGTTACTCCTCTTCTTGAGACAAAAACAAGTATCCTACCTTGCAACATAGACTATAAAAGGGAATGGGATGCAATTTCTACGGACAGATGTAAACGCAAATAAAATATTCTAAAATGTTATAGACAGGATTGGAGTTGACACCGCTGCTAAAGCATGACACAGCAAAGGACACTTTTTTCACTGGGGAAGGTGTGGATTTTGTATCTTGTAAACAGTCTTTATGATGAGTTTATCTTCCTATGTAATAAAAACTATCAATAAAACTGTCATCAAGTGTCATACAGTATATGCAGTTTTTACAATGTTACAGGAGAGCCAAAAAACAAAACAAAAACAAAAAACCAATACCAATAAAACATTTGCTTAAAAGATAATGAAGAAGTTATCAAAATTGTTTTCTTAAAAATGCTGGGGATGCTGGCAAAGAGTTTAATTATTTGGTAACAATATTCAGTTGTTTTGGTTTTGTTTCGTTTTTTGGCTCTCCTGTAATATTGTAAAAAACTGCACATACTTTACTTTCTTTTTAAAAAATGGCAGAGAATCTTTTATTACCCTTACATTTATTTCACAATAGTTGTGCAGAGCAGTTGTCTCGGCAGAAGACAGCTCCTGTAAAAGAAGAAATACATATTTCGAAAATAGAATCTTACGTTCAGCTGAGATATACAATCAAAAGAATAGAAACAGATACAGATTAAGACAAAATACAGGGTCCCCACCAAATCCTTGAAAAATTTTTCAAGACCCCCTAATTTTTTTCAAGACCCCAATTCGAAGGAAAAATCAGGCCGCTGCGCGTCAAGAATGATCCCCAAAAAAGCCAATCTATCAAAGATAAAAAGTCAAAATATCTATAAATGAATGCAAATGTACATTTTGTAGTATAGTCTTCAAACAATAGATGACTATAATACTGGGTGACTGCCAAACCAGCTTCTCAATTTTCCAAGGGAGGGGCCTCATCCATTTTCCAGGAACACGTTACATAACAATGAAAGCATGTGCTCCATTTATATATATATATCTAATATAATACATGTATATGTTTGTGAATACACACACACACACACACATGTAGGTACATTATATTCAGTCAACAACATGTCAGTGTGGCACTGGGATCTTGAGAGACTTTGGTATTTCAGTCTGTTCTTACTTATTTATATTTTCCCCTCATCATATTAGCCAACATAACAAACTATAGGCCCTATATAAAAAATGAATCCTGTCTTGAGCCTGAGAAAAGACCTAGAACTAGAAAATCGACTGTCAATAACCAGTCTGGGTGTCATGATTCATATAATAAACGTGAAGACGAAAACCATTGCTGCAACTCAAAGAAGAGTAATATTAGTAATAACTAGAATGGCTCAAGTACACCTATTCAGTGTGAAAGGTGCAAGAACTGGGGGGGGGGGGGGGGCAAGAGATGCTGTGACACTGAAAATCTACCAATCTTGAACAGAAAGCTAAAATATAGATATAAATTACAATCACCCCATCCAATGAAACGCGATCACACTTTAGTTCAATAACAAGGCATGACGGATCCCAATTCCACACAAGACCTGCACCAATGCGCGCTTTGCAGAGAGCTCTAAAGTAGTTCTCAAATGCTAAAAATTTGCTTCCAAGTTCAGTTTTTGTCCTCTAGCGTTGCCTTCAGCTCCCCCCCCCCCCCCTTCCACGAGTGTATCTTATAAAGGAGTCCTATACTTCACAGCGCTCAGACCGCTGGTACTCACAGGTTCATTGACCGGTCACGAAGGCAAAAGTTCTTTTTTTTTTTTTTTTCAAAAAGCGACAGCAGAGGGCAATTTTTAATATTGATCTATTTTCAAGGCGACACAGCGTTCATAATTCATAACCTGCATGTTACAAATGTTGCGTTATCTATCAGACTATTACCGGAAAATTTATGGGCGGTAACGAAAGCGAAAGTAGATCTTGATTCTTCCCGATCGAGCCTCAGTGTCACACATACACTTCCGCCACAGCGGTTCAATTATGTTTCCTCTTCAGGATTTATCAACCATACAGTCTAGATAGCTACACATTACACAGGCCCTATCCTTTCCCGACTTACCCACCCATCACAAAATTCCTGACTTTTCCTGACCTATCTCAAAATTCCCGACTTTTTCCCGATTTCCCGACTTCCCGACCCGGTGGGGATCCTGAGTATATTATATATACCAATAAGAATCTAGGAGTAAGGGTCTTTTACAACCCAACACACACAATACTAGAACTGACAAAACTTAACCAAAAAAAATATATCAAAGAAAATAATGAAGCACCTCCATATTATGCGCTGTCATAACTTTATGCGCCCTGTAGACTGCAAAATTGGACAGGAACAATGACGTCTGAAAGTCCAGGAGACGTTTCAGTTCTTCAATGGTCCATTCTTCCCACATGGACTGTATGGCCAAGTCATCATCAGCCTCATCCGGACACTCATCCTCCTCCCCCAACGTCTGGCTCTGACGTCGCTGACCTTCTTCCTCCGCTGATGACTGGGAGATTGAACGTTGGCGTACCTCTTGTGCTTTGCTACTGAGCTTCTGAGCCAACACTTGGGGCAAGCACTGGATCAACTCTATGGCCATATTAAGGACAACTTGCACCAAGTTGGTCAGCCGGTCAAAGTTTTTTAAGTCTTTGTAGACACAAAGGCATTGCCTACAAAAAAAAAGACAATTAAACATGAGTTTTATGATACCATAATTACTGTATTAAAAGTTCTACTAGCAAATATATAAAATACATTTTCTTTTTCAATTTTTTTTTAAAATCAACACTAAACAAAAACAAAAACGAAATAATAAAAGAAAATAGGACTATAACAACCTCAGGTCAAAAAGGTTCTAAAAGAGTAAGGAAACCATTTGAAAGAAATGTTAAAAGAAGTCTGATATACATATACAGTCAAACCTGCCCTGACGGTCACCTCTATAAGACGGCCACCTGTACAAACGGCCACTTTCCATTTCCCCCCTTGCGTTTTTTCTATATAATTTAACTGTGTAAAACAGGCACCTGTCTAACGCGGCCGCGGCCACCATATTTTAACACACAACCCCTGTCACACTAAGCAATAATACCTGTCTTAGACGGCCACCTTTGTGACTCCATTACGTTTTGTCATAAATTGTGCATTGGCCCCTGGCGTTTTGGGTGAGCCGTCATAATTCAATCACCTGTCGTTGTTGTTAGATAGTCCCTCCAACCGATCATGTAGCGTAGGCCCCTCCCACTGTTGACCAATAGCTACTAATTTTCAGCTGTTGGTGTGGTAAGCGTGTGATCCCCCATAACCCATAAGCCCCGCCCAGAACTCTTACACTAATCGTAAGTGAGATGAGTGGTCACTGTTTACCCAGTCTGTAACAAAGTAACAAAGGACGTCAACATGAACTTGTGACAGAAGCGTCGCGCGTTCTCCAAGTGGTGGCGACCCATGTGTTTGTTTTAACATGGCACTCGGTCTTCCTCGTCTGATACATTTCATTTTATTGTCACCCTTGCGCAAAATCAGCAACAAATAAAAATTACAAACAAAATACAAACCACCACCATCCCCACCAACAACAAAAACAACAACAATGCGGCTACTTTCGATTGGGACCTCAGATGGGTATGGTTTGTTTTCTTCATCTTGATCAGTCCTGCCTAAGACGGCCACCTGTCTTATACGGCCACTTTTCTCCTTGACAATGGGTGGCCGTCTTACACAGGTTTGACTGTATATATATTAGCATTGGTCTTTCCCATCTATTAATAGTATTCAATTATGAAACTTTCATTTTCAGAGAAGCAAATGGCTTTGACAACCTCAGCAAAAATATCCTTCAAAGCTGAACAAATCGGAAAAGAATACGTATCCGAAAGGTCGTCACCTCCTGTGTCTAGTTGCGCTGTCTATCATCTAAAAAGGCTTACTGAATATATATTACGGCAAACGCAATGGTAAAAGCCCACTTGACCCCCCACCCCCAAACATCATTCTTAAAAATAAGTTTAAAATATATTGTCACCCCACAGAGAAAGGAGATCATTGTAAGTAAGTTCCAAATGAAGGGTTCATGTTGACTATCATCAGAAATATCACCTATTAATCTGGAATGAGAATAGCCGAATAAGGATAATAAAAATCTTTCAGTCTTCCAGCACTAGATAATAACTTACTTGTTGTTCCAGGAGCATGAATACCTGATGAAGGTTTCCACTTCACTTCTGCTGAGCTGAACAGAACCCCCAGAAACATGGCGACTGTGATCTGCAGAAAAAAGGAAAGACACTACAGTTGAATTCAATACAGAGGAGCATGCCAGACTTACAGTACAAACTTTTGCAACCATTAAACACAGATTCCTCATACTCTGACCCTAATCAACTATCAACACCTTTTCTAAAAAACCCTTTCTCACCAAAGCATATTATATATATAAAATCCCGAACAACCACAAATACCTCAAAAATTATATCCTGAAAGGGTGGTGATTAAATGAAGAAAACATGATGCTTCAGCTTTATTAAAACAACGCATTGACCTACTCCTAATAATTGTTTTAGTTTAAAGAGTTTTACAGCACTTGCAACACAATAAGGTCATATAAGTGCCGAAGATTAGAAGTGTTACAAGAGATTTTTTTTATTATAGTAGAGTGTATTACGGCACACGCAACTGCGTAAGGTCATATGAGCGCCAAGGGGTGGGTGTCAACAGAGAAGTCTTTACAGGGAATCAGACCCACTCTGCCCACCTCTCTAGCTTCAACAGCACAAGGTCTGCTTCAACTATCAAGGCACCCCGGAAATAGCAGGTCACAAGAGAGTGACAAACATACAAAAGAAGTAGAGGAAAATGACAATAGTAAGGATTAGGAAAGAAAAAGCAGCAGTTCCCTGTTGTAGATCAGGCACAGTTATGAGCGTGACATGAATCGGCCCATTTTCTACTGCACTTGAACGAGAAATGTCCCCCCTTTGGGAATGGCCTAAAGACACTACAGTCACTGGCACTGCCCCGTGGGGTTTGTTACAAGAGAGTCATCATCATCCGGTGCCTTGCCGACTGGCGTGGGCGATCATGGACCTCCACTTCCATCTGTCTTTCGAAGCAGCAATGGTGTCTGTTGTTCTTGCTGCTCCCAGCCATGTTGTCATCTTGTCCAGTACCTTTTCCCTCTGTCTGCCTCTACCTCTCTTTCCATCAAACTTTCCCGTTGTTACAATGTTCTCTAATGCTTCTTTCCGCATTGTGTGTCCGAAAAAATTTGCCTGTCGTTTTCTTATATTCGTGATAAGTTGTTTTCTATAATTTGCTTCAACCAGGACTTCTTCATTTGTTTTTCTAGCTGTCCATTGGATACGTAGCATGCGTCTCATGAACCACAACTCTGCCGCAACAATTGTTTTTTCCAGCTGTTTATTGATTGTCCATGCTTCGCACCCGTATAATAGGATTGGCTCGATGTAGTTTTTCATTACTCTTTTCCTCGTTTCCAGTAACAGATTGATGTTTGTTAGTATCTGTTTCATCTTGTGGAAGGTTGCCTTTGCTTGGCAAATGCGGCTTTTAATTTCGGTGTGACATCTACCATCTGATGATATAATGGTCCCCAAATATCTAAAATGTTGTACTTGCTTGAGGGTGGTATCATTGATTTTGATATTGCATGTTGGGACTGGAGTATTTCTGCTTATCACCATTGTTTCGGTTTTCTTGATGTTTAGGTTTAAGCCCATGTTGTCACTCTCTTGTACGATGACATTTAATAGATTCTGCAGGTGTTCTTCATCTTCTGCTATTAGGACTGTGTCATCTGCATATCTTAGATTGTTTATATTATGTCCCCCTATCGAGATACCAGGCATTTCTTCTATGTGTCTCATGATATTTTCACTATACAGGGAAAACAAGTCTGGAGAAAGTACACATCCTCGTCTGACTCCTCTTTTAATCTGTATGTATTCGCTGATGTCGTTTTCTATTCTCATTGCAGCCGTTTGATCCCAGTACATGTTTTTGATAATCCGTAAGTCCTTCCCGTCAATATTAAGAACTTCCAGCATGTCGATGATCTTGTCGTGCCTGATTTTGTCGAATGCCTTGGTGTAGTCTATAAAACATAAATGAAGATCTTTCTGAACTTCTAGGGCACGTTCTATTGTTGTTCTGATGACATATATGGCATTTACAGTGCCTTTGCCTTCAATAAATCCACATTGTTCTTGGGCTATTTCTGGGAGAATTTTATTTCTTATTCTCATCATAATTATTCTGAGTAATATTTTTGTTATGTGGCTCATGAGGCTGATGGTACGATGTGTTTCATAAGAGAGTAACAAACACAAAAAAGAAGGAGAGATAAGGACGATAGATGTTTGATAGGAAAGAAGGAGCAAACCACATTAAAGCACCCGCCACCTACTCATAAGCAACTCTCAAACCTGAGACTAGCAACAAAACTAGCAAGAAAAGGTTTCATACAAATAAAGAAAGAGGAGCGGGAGATGGAAGGGCATGTCCACAGTGTAACTCGGTGAGCTGCGTTACTTTTTGTAAGTGTACAACGTGGTGATTAACAGAAGAAGAGACGAAGGTTGAAAATGAGACACAATTTTAAGGTCACAAGTCACTGAAACCACTGCTGACAGCACAGATAGCAGCCAAACTAAAGTCACGGTGGTTAAAAGACAAGGGAATGAAGACTGAACCATTGCTGACAGATTCAGGGCCAGGGAAGGACGTTATAAATATAAATTATAATTGGAGGTTGCACTTTGGGCCGCAACACGTGTCAGATAGAAGCCCTCTCTCGCAGGGGAACCATCGTCAAACTGTGCGGCGCACTGCTAGATTCTCGCACTGAAAGCTATGTTATGTCTTGTTAGTTTGTAAAAGAAATGCTTGAATGGAAATCAACTGGGTCATTAGTCAGAATGCTCTCATAATAGCGTGTTGCTTTCCAGTGTGTGAGCAAATTAAATGTCAAACAAACCTATGTATTAGTGGGACAAAATCTAGAATCTAGTTCCTGTATCTACACGTTTTTTTGCATTTTCATACACACACTTAGGTTTGAGTTCAATAAGATTGATTTCAATTTGGGGGGGGGGAGTGCCTATTCTTCTCGGTAGTCATTTCTGTTACTAGATGTAGATACCTTGCGGCTCCATTAAAAAAGTTAAATCAGTCCCTAACAAAAACAAGAATAATTTCTGTTTAAACTGTGTTCAATTATACCAAACCAAAGATGATGGGGTTGGGAGAGGGGCGGGGTTTGGATATGAGTTTGAGTCCCATGTTTAATAGTTCACTATCCGGTTCAAATCTATTACTAGTACCAACTACTCTTTTCCAATCCAATGTATGAATGTACGTGTTGTCTAAATCTTAAACTTATATGTGTGTGCGTGTGTGTTGGAGGAGGGGGGGAGGGTAGCATATCCTTAGACCATGTCATAAAAGTAGAAACAGTAAAGTAGGTATTTCAGTCAATTAGAAAGCATAACAAGGACATATTATTTATGTTGAGTAGAGACAAGGGAACAGTGTCATTAAATTTGGGAGACATGTAGAATACATCATGTTACTGTAGAGTGAGTGAATGCTTTATCAATAGGCTAAGGAACCCAACGACTATTTGTACATCAATACAGTTAGTATTATAATAACTTTTTATCTCACTTTAAAAGATAATTGGTACTGTTATTTAATTATCTTTTTAAAAGTTAAACCCGTGGGTGGGTGGGCAAACTGCATTTCGTATGCAAAAGGAAACAAAATTACTGTGCTCAATAAAATAATTCATAGACACAGCTGATTTTGACTCTTTTTTGTTCTATGTTCTTGTGTGCAGGCCGAGGCTATATTAAATGAAGGCCCTTTACCTGAGCTTTCTCACACCTAAGACAGCCTAGCCCTTTACATTCACCATTAACAGACCTGCCACCTATGAACTCTAAAAATCAGGATTTCAATTTCAGAGTAAAAAAATGAGGATCTGGTGAAAAAAATTGGGAGCAACGGCACATCAGTCATAAGGAGCACTGGGGATGGGGGGTCCCGGTTCCCTTTTATGAGGCAAGCGTGCAAGACAAAACTTTTGCAGGAATAAGTTCACATTTGAACCTTTAAGTGGAAGGAAAAAACTGATCATAGAGTTGGATAGACTGGGGGAGTGCAGGTTGCAGTGAGGCTGAAACTTTCGTATTTTTTAATTTTGTTTTAGTAGAGGTTTTACGGCACTCGCAACTGCATAAGGTCATATGAGCGCCAGAAGATTAGGGGTGTTACAAGAGAGTAACAAACATAAAAAAGAAGAAGGGGAGATCAGGACGATAGATGTTTGATAGGAAAGAAGGAGCAAACCGCACCAGAGCACCCGCCAACAGGGGTGGACCCCGGTAGCAAACCCGCTCGTGCTCGCAAGCCCCAAGTTCAAGTCACAAGCCTCAAATCACGAGGTCAAATCATCAAATCAAATCACCAGCATGATAAGTTGAGTCTAGCGCAAACTGTTACCTCCTTGGTCTAGTCTAAACTTCAAGTCCACAGCAACTAGCAATCCGCGAAGCCACTTGTGTCAGACCCCCTCATCATCCCCACCCTGCTTGCAATCCGTGAAGCCATTTACGTCAGAAAAAGAGAGAGGGGGAGACTGAGAGATCCCGCCCACAGTGTCACTGCGCGGCGTAGCTCTGTAGTCTGCTCGATTAATCGAAGGCTTTGCAAAGCAGAGGACAGCCGCAAGTCTCAAATCCCGTCCGCAGCCACAAGTCCCACGATTCACACAGTACTGATTTGCGCTAGGCCTAGTGAATTGTCCTAGGACAAGCTCGAAACATGACCTGCTGACTTGTGCTGTCTCCATAAAGCGAGCGAGCGGTTCGCCTCAGGACCGCTCGATGTGTTCAAGCAGCAGTACCGCTCGCTGTGTGAACTTTGAACCGTGGAGGAAGGGAGAGGCTGGGCTTGTTTTGGTGAAGAGAGAAGTTTTTAACTTCCCGCCGTTGATCAGCTAAGCGAGTGGATAAATGAGAGGGAGCGTGGTATTGTAGTAGCAGATACCTAGGTTTCTGGTAGTAATAAGAATAAGTAGACTTAGATTACCCTAGAATGGAAAACTCCAGGGGTCGTTGTGATTGGCTTTTGTATCGTATGTATGTAACCTATTTTGTGTGTTACACTCACATTGACATAATACAGAACATTTAGGAGACGGGCTAGGCCTACTTCAACCCAATGTCAGGACCAACCTGGGCTGAGAGGGAACAACGCCCCAGCAGAAAGACAGAGGTTCTCAGTAAAAATTTCTCCCCATACAGGAATCGAACTGAGGTCTTTTGCGTGCCACGATGAAGCGCTTGGCTCGTGCACATTAAAAATAAACAGGCTTTAACATCGTAAGAATAGCCGATCCAATATTAATTTTAAGTGCATTAAATGAATAGAGCTTTTTGTTTTTTACAACCGAACTATGTAAAAAAACAAACAATCTTGCACTTTTGGTGCAAGCCTCTCAACGCAAATAACCAGAGAATCTTTTGTAATATGTACTGAACCCACAGCAACGAAGGTTCGCGGCGTCACGACACAGTACAACTGTCCGCGAGTCACAACTCACCGGAAGTTCCCTCCGGTAGCAAGTGGGAGGCAAAGCAAATCACAAGCCTGCTCGCAAGCCTCTAGCGCGAGCCGTCCGCTGCTTTGCAAGCCTTCAATTAACCCGAGCAGAATCCAGCCCTACCCACCAACCACCCACATCGTATTTTTTTAAATAGCTTACACGCAACTCTATTCATCCATGCAAAAGGCGCGCGTTTTCATCCAGTGACAACGCTCGACTACGGTCACATACACACTCAAGTACTCAAAGCAGCCACCCCCCCCCCCCCAATCACACTAAGGTTGTTCATTTATTTTGTTTTTCTTATTCCTTTATCCTCAATTAGTACATGTATCACGGCGCGCACTTTAAGCCTAAGTGTCAAAACAATACCCCCACCCCCTCCCCCCGGTCGTTTCACATTGGTTAAGTATCGTAAAACCAGAGCTGGTTGTAACGGAGTTTTAGAAAAGTACTTTTGAGTAATTTTAAAGCACATTTTAATCATAATTTACGGAACAAACACCCAGACGGGCACAGCCGATCAACCAAGAGTTAAAAGTTGAGATCAAACATCTGTCCGTCGCATCAAAGATCAGCCACTCTCGTGAATGTGATCACAAGCATTGTAAAACTCGAAATGTGAGGCAGCGTGGTAGAATCAGGCTCTCGTCAATTTTTGAGCATGTAAAGTTTATTGGTATCATCTTAAAGATTGTTCACTTGTCTTTATTTGGATGAAAAAATATCCATTTATCTTGAATACAAGTCGAGATATTTGCGAATGAAGGAGATGGGGGTCACCTGTTTTCAGATGTAAAACTAGTGAGAAAATGGCGGCCAAAGATCAGTTATTTCCCTAGCTAAAAGAGTCCGTGGAAACTGAAAATTTATATTTTTATGACTTTAATCGACCTTTTTCAGAAAAATCCGCACAGAAATGAGTTCTTTAATGGGCATGAATGGTATTGAGCCAAAAACAAAAATTTTATAAAAATTCACAAACCTGTGGAAAAAAGCAAGTTTCTTCACTGGTTATTTTGACGAGAGCCTGATTCCACCACGTTGCCTCACAAATGGTACAATGTTTGCCCCAGACATAATCACACGAGGTGTGAACTGACCGACACTTTTGTTTTCCCCACACATCGTACTCGCATCTGACCTCGCCACCTAAACTTACATCACTCGCTGGGTGGGTAGGGCCTACAAGTGCGCTCCAGGCAGGATCACATCGAACTATGAACTGTCTCCTGACCATTGAAGACAATTTTTCTCTATTCCCGAATTTGCGAGACAGCCAGAATTTTAATTGGTGTGGTCACAACGTAATGATGCGTACGTGTATCCAAGTCGGAACTCAAAATCGATACTACTTCGATTTTAGTTGAAATAACGTGCGCAAGTCAACCACTAGATCCGACATTGATAGTTTATCGGTGCTTCTAAGCAAAAGAGATTGCAGAATTTTGTTTTCTAGGAATCGGACGCAACAACAAAAAATCAGGAGACACGCAACCGAAATCGGGAAAATCGGGATGCTTGAGATTTGAGGAAAAAATCGGGATATCCCGATTAAATCAGGATGAGTGGCAGGTCTGCATTAATCACCTTTACTTACTATAAAGTTGTAAGCTAGTTATGATGGCACTCTCCTTGAGTCCTGCAATCGTTGTGTCAAATTTGGTTCTTCTTACCATGCCTTTGTCATTAAAATCTAAAGATTTGCTCCACTATCTGTTTTTAAAATTTTCTGGTATTAGGACATGATCTCTTTCATTTTGTTCCCCCCCTTTCCAAAATCTTCAGTTACTTTTCCTCTCTACTTCCCTTCCCCAGGCCTGCCCCACCACTTTCAACCCGGCCTCCCTACGCACATTCCCTCCCATACCGAAAACCACAGCCCCGCCCTACTAAATATCCTTTTTTAAGAAAAGACTGCGGAGCACGCAGTTTGACTACGGTTGGCGGCCATTTTGCCTGTTCAATTGGATACGCTGCATGCAGTGCTGCCAAGACAGAGAGAAGCATCCATTTGTTGTGTGTAAAAAGTCCTTGGGCCAGGACCAACCCACCAGGCTGAGACTGAGTGCAATGCAATTTAGGGACAATCCGGTTTCCGCCCAAACGACCCAATAACTATGGAGTGTGGGTTTTGGCTCCACCGACGATTACTTCTGGTTATTAACGATTATTTTTCTATGCGCGTACCGAGCTTGATGCGCGGCGAGCAAGAGCTCAAACCTCATTGCAAAACATCAAATTGTGGTTAAATTCAGGGGGGCACCCCCCCCCCCATATTTTTATTAATATTTTTATTACCCCCCCCCCCCCGAAACCCCCTTTGTTAAATTAAAACCAAGTGAAATATTACTGCTCATTTTGTACTGAAAAATAGCAGTGCATCTCACGCTCTCTTTCTGTATATAGGACATAGAGTAGAGTCGGGTAACTTTGACACTCTCGGTTGGCTCGCGACGAAACAAGCCTGCACACATCCCTTCTATGATGTACACTTACACTATCCCAGTTTCGTCTCCAACTTTTCATAGCCAATGAAATGCAAACAGCCAACTGATTGGTTTGCTTGCTAATCGTACTTCACGGTACTTCACCTGTTTCATTCTTTTTTCAAGTGGATACATCTATAGATCTATAATCTACTATGATATCATAACAATTAGGGAGTGTATACAGACCCGGTAACCGGGAACAAAGTCACAAAGTATACAGACCCCGTAGGGAAACTCTTTTGTGGTTTCAGAAAGTTTCAGCACCCTCTTGGCTCAGGATAGACCTAGGTTCTTCTAGATCTATGGCCTAGGTCTAGATCTAGACAGACAGACAGACATATAAAGCATTGATCTAGTTTCGAGACTAGCCTAGATCCAGATCTAAATGAAGATTGTGGATGTCTTTTCTATGAACGATCGTTTTTCCTCCGTTTTGGAGTTGGAGGTAATCACAACTTGAAGAAAACAACAATAATGTCATCGAGCAGTCACCCTCTCTATTTCTCTGCCCCCCCCCCCTCTCTCTCTCTTCCTCCCGGGTCTGGGCGCTGAAACTTTCCGAAATCACAAAAGTAAAAGAGTTCCCCTACCGGGTTTGTATACTTCGTGACTTTGTTCCCGGTATAAGGCTGACCTACTTCGACCGAGAAGCGCGCAGGCCGTATATAAAGGTCATAGACGCTGACCCTTTTCAATGGAAAATTCCAGTGTTCCTTATATGGAAAATGACGTAGTCAATTACAGGCCAAAGTTACAAAAATAGTGACTAATGACTTTACTTTGCAAGTTATCTTGACCTCGTAGAGCGTCTCTTGGCCGAGATATCGACCGATAAAAAGACGCGGTCCCGCTGAGCGACTACACGCTATGTGTTATCACTTGTTTCGCCGTGCTGATGTACTAATTGTTGAGTCTATCACTATCAGTATCGCATTCTTGGCTTTGTTTGTATTTATTTGATCGCTGATCATTTTTGAATGGCTCATTCTATCAGCTTAAAGAAAATATATGATTTTATATGCTTTTTATCATCCGTTGAGCCGTAAATGGTCATTTTTCAGTAGCAGGTATACATTTCGGGTATCTCAGCTGTTCCCCCCCCCCCCCCCCCCCCCCCAAACCCCCATGTTTACAGCTGATCGGCCATGGCGGCGGGGCATTTTTGGCGGGTTACTTCCGGTGAAACGCTGAGCGCTTCTAGAGTTAACACTTAAACTCTTCCTTGGTAGGTATATCAGATTATTCTCATTTAAAAGTCTAATTTTTCTTTTACAATGACAATGTAAGTCAAACAACAATGAGTGAATGTGGAGAGTTAAAATATAAATATTAAAAGTGGAATAATGATCATCTAGATGATCTAGATCTAGATCTTAGTGATGATCTAGGCCTAGGCACTCTAATTGCCGCTACCTTTTTCTTTGTTGTCGAAATGCATGTTTTGTCTTACACACAGTAGACTACAATGACAAGACTTACATCAACTATGAATCTGACCTGACCCTGCAATTATGTTTTTGGGCACTTTTAGTCTCTGTAGTTTCAGCAGTTCTAATTTAGCTTCACTTGGAATACTGATTGTTAAAGATTGGGTGTGGAAGAAGTATCAGATTTGTTCTGGGTGCATTTTTCTTAATCGCATTTAATTTAACAAGCTAGAACTAGAACCTAGATCTAGATCTAGATGATCTGAAGCCTGAAGCTCCGGGAATATTCTGGACATGTGAAAATGGGGACTGGAGAGCATCAGGCATCATGTTCAAAACAAGCCGGGTTAAGATGCAAAAATAAACTTCGGTGAAAAAAGGATGCACGGTGAAGTCTATAAAATTGGTCTTCACTCACGGTTGTTCAAAAGCACCAGCACCTCACTGCATTGATCGCACATCGACATGCTACTCCAGATTCTACCTGAAATTCATTATGTGACCTGAAATCTAAACGAAGACATTCATCTTCACTTTGTTGTTACTACACTACACAGTACAACACTTTGAGGATTGAAAAATTGTAATGAATCAAGCATCTTTACGCATGCGTGAAAAACCGGACTTCCAGCAACGGATTAATTACTATTTTGTGTGTATCTCTCAAACAACGACGTACACAATGGGCCCTATGTATTCATTTAGAAGTTATAATTTGAATATTATTATGACATAGTGCATGAGTATCAAAGTCTGACTGTTTCAGCCAAACGACCCTTGATTCCAGATGTCAAAATGATGTTCGTGGTTTTTAAGAAACTGATTCAAACAATGATGTAAGTAGTATTTTTAGATATTTATTTTTAGAAATACCGGGAAACAAAAAAAAATGCGGACCAAGAGAGTGGTCAGTGATGTTATCAGTGCGATGTTGCTGAAAACATCACTTTTAAGCTGATGCAAAGAAAAAAGAAATACATGTACACAAGACATTGGTTGTTTTTTTTAATGAAATGACCTCACATGTTTTATGAATGATAATATAAGAAGCGGGACGGATACTGGGCTGTTCCTGTCGACAAGATATCCGAGAAAAACAGACCTCCACCTCCCCCAACACACACACGCACGACCACACACACACACACACGACCACACACACACACACACACACA